TTCCGCCAGGGTGGGGGCGTGGGAGGGGGATTTGGAGGGGCCAGGAACTTGGGGGGCGGTGGCTGTGGAGGTGGTGGTTTTGGAAGTGGCGCTTTTGGTGGTTTTGGGGGTGGTGGTTCTGGAGGTGGTGGCTTCGGAGGTGGTGCCATTGGGGGCGGTGGCTTTGGAGGTGGTGGCTATGGAGGAGGTGGTTTTGGGGGTAGCAATTTTGGGCTTGGGGGCTTTGGTTCTTGTCCCCTGGGGGGCATCCAACGGGTGAGCATTAACCAGAGCCTCCTACAGCCACTTGACCTAGAGGTGGACCCTGAAATTCAGAGGATCAAGACCCAGGAGCGGGAGCAGATCATGGTTCTCAACAACAAGTTTGCCTCCTTCATTGACAAGGTGAGTGCCTCAGGGGCAGGCAGTGCCTCTGGGCCCCAACCAATGACTGAGAGGGCCTCGTGCCCTGCTCGCTCTCATCACATTGTGCTGCCTTGGTTTGGTGATGACAGTTGCTTCCAGATGTGTATGTCCTGGGACCTTAAGAAAGCATTTACCTCATTTAGGCCTCAATTTGACTTAATGAGGGAACTTGTCTCTATGTTTCCTTTTGGCAGAAAAGCACACAAGAGGTGTGAAAATTCCCAATAGACAAAATACTTGGTATAGTAATTGCATTCTCATTCACGATTATTCACTTTCCATCCATCCATCCTTCCATCCATCCATCCATCCATCCATCCATCCATCCATCCATCCATCCATCGGTCCATCCACCCCACAAACATTTACTAAACATCTGTTATATCCCAGACAATGTGCCACAGGGCGACTCCTTGTTCTTAAGGTGTCATGGCAGAGACTAGGTGAATGCCCTGGTGGGTATCTCTGGGGGGGAAAGTCAACAGCATACTAAGTAGAATTCTGTCTAAATTCCTCATTTTAGCTCATCAAGGGCCAAGAATATGCCAGATGAACCTCCCCCTAGTTCTCTGATTAGACCTTAGATTAGGCCTGGTCCAGGACCAAATCACCAGGCAGAGGCTGGTGGAAGACCTATGGGGAACACCTTGCTCCAGCATTTCCTTTTGTCTAAAGGGGGAGGCACAGTGGCTACTGTAGGGTCCCCAGGAGGTTTTTTTGCCCCAGGGGATATCTTGGGAAGCACCCTGGGTTAAAAAGTTCCCTAGATTCTCAGTGACTTTCCCTCAGTCCCCACAGGAGTTCAGTGTTGAGGCCAGAGCTTGACCTGTGGTCTGACAGCAGAGTAGCCATGGCCAAGGTCCAGCTTTGGGTTGTATACCCAGCCTCTGATATTTGGATAAATGCTGGGGGTGGGACAGAGTGTGTGAGCTGGGGGAGGAGGGGTAAGAGTGTTGAGGCCCAGAGATCACCTCAACAGAGCACTATCAAAGTGTTCTTGGCTACATCTGATCACCCTGGATGGGAAATCTGGTTGAATATTATCACACCTCAGGCATAGGCAGGGACTGGGAGGGCTTGACTGGAGCAAGGAGGTGACAGGTGAAGGGAGACACCACTGGGAGGTCAAAGCTAGACCAAGGGAGGAGCGGGAACAAAAGCAGGTTGGGGAAGGGGGTCAGTGAAATGACCATGGGCTGCTGGCTGACCTCCTGAGACTCTCACTTGATTGTGGTTCCTGCCATTAATAGGACACTTGTTCAGTTTTGTGGCATGGAACTGTGCACAGAGGCCAAGATGCAAGACACTGTGGTTTCTTGTCCTTCCCCAAGGGCATGGCCTGTGCTGACCATGAGGACAGAGTTCTTACCCAGGAAGGCTCTGACCTGGCAGGAAGGGAGAAGGCTTCTACTGCAGTGACTTTGACACTAGTTTCTGATCTGGTCCCCCTGCTTTCACATTTAACCTTATCCAGCCTACTCTTAGTACCACATGAGAGCTATTCTTTAAAAAGCCCAGCCAGTGTGGCTCAGGGGTTGAGAGTATACCCATGAACCAGGATGTCATCAGTTCAGTTCCTGGTCAGGGCACATGCCTGGGTTGCGGGCTTGATCCTTGGTAAGGGGCACGCAGGAGGCAGACAAGTGATGTTTCTTTCTCATCAATGTTTCTCTCTTTCTCTCTCCCTTCTTCTCTCTAAAATCAATAAAAATATGAAAAAAAAATCACATCACTCGTTTATTTAAATACTTCATTGGCTTCTTATCTCATTTAGAATAAAAGCCAAGGCCCTATAAGGTCCTATATAATCTGGCCCTCCAACCTACAGCTGCTGCTAACCCCTGGCTTGCATTTGTGAGAATTAGGCAACGTTGCCACCACCGGATGGAACAGTTCTTGAGCTGCAAGCCTTAATAACAGAGTGATGGCTGGAATTTAACTCCCCTGGGTACAAACTCACTGTCTGCAGTGGCCCTGAACTCCCTCTCTGTCTCCACTCCTGCTTTCCTTTTGCTTACCAGCACACTATTGCATTTTTGCATCCTCCAGCTCCCCAAGCATGGTCTTACCTCAGGGCCTTTGCACTTGCTATTTCCTCTGCTTGGAACTTCTCCCTCCAAAGAGTAAGCTGGCTTGCCCCCTCACCTCCTTCAGGTTTTAGCTCAGATGTCACTGTCTCAGTGAGGTCTTCCCTGATCTTCCTATTTAGAGTAGCACCCTCATCTTAGCATCCCTCGCCACCATCCCTGTGTTACTTTTCTCCATAGCCCCTACAGTCATTTGACACACTGTATATCTCACATTTCTTTACAGTTGTCTCTCTGAATAGCATGTAAACTCCTGCAAAGCAGGGATTTTGTCTGTTTTGTTTATTATTGAATCTCCAGCATGCAGAATAGTGCCTGGTACATGATAACTGCTCAATAAATTTGTGTTGAATGAAAAATTGAGCCAGCCCTTCATGTGTCAGGCTTGACTCTCAGAGAGTAGGAATGGAGACATGGGCTTTTTCCGAACCAATGACAAAGGAAAAGAACCTCAGGAAGAAAAGGGGGGTCCAGTTCTTCCCATGGGGACACTGGCCTGACCTTGTTCATCTGACCTTGAATCCTCTATGCCAGGCAGTTCCAAAGCCCTTAGCATTTCATTAGCTTTTGATACTTATAAACTGACTTCTCTGTGTTGGGCACTGTGTGTCCATGGTTCTCGGCACCTGTGCCCACTGGACAACAAAGCAAACATGGGTCTGCCTTCCTGGGGCTCACACCTGGCAGAGAGGGGACATGCTAAGACACCACCAAAAGACTACAGATCATGACAGATGTCATGGGGGACAAATGGAGGCTGATGAAGGAAGATACCAGGGAGAGGCCACTTTAGCTGAGAACTGAAGGGTGGAAAGGAGTCAGCCAGGCAGAGTTGGGGAGATCTGGGCTGCTGGAGGCATGAGGGGGTCTCTGTAGCTGGAGTGCCATGAAGGGGAGGGAGAGGGGCATGAGAGGTCGAGTGGGGTGTGCTTTTTCCAGTGAGAAGCTTAGCTTGGCATGGCGCTAAATTTTATCTGTGTTAGCTGAGCTTTCCTTTGGTATTGCTGATGGGGTCACAGTCCAGGAGTGTTTTGGGGAGCCTGGGGAAAATTCACAATGGCTTTCAGGGATGTTTCTACTTAAATCCCATTAAAATTGCCTGGCACTCCCTGAAGCCAGACTCTGCCTTTGCAGTTTGCTTGGCCTGACGTGAACCACGGTTTCTCTGACTCGGGTACTCAGGCTAAGCCCAAAGCACTCAGATTTGTTTGACTGCACCCTCACTGTTTGACGTGGGGTTTCCCTGTGGGACCATACGACTCTTTCTTTTTGTCCCCACAACATAACACAGGGCTGTGAACAAGTGTTCAGTAGCTTCCTCCACTCCCTGGGAGTGCCGCCTGAGTGAAAACAGGCCAGGTGGCAGAAGTTTCTCACATGTTTCGAGCCGTGCTGACAAACCTGTGAGAGCTGGTTTGCCTTATCTCTTGCCTTCACAAGTTAAGCGTCAATGAGCCACGAGAAACTGTTCTTTGTGCACATTTTCCAGCCAAAAGTCAGGACCCAAAAGGAGTTAACAAGGGCTAGACCCTCTGATGGGCAGTCTCAGGGCGGGGGTGCTGGGCACCCTCCTTAGTGCTACGTTGTAGGTGGGTCTTCAGGGTTCTGTTCTGATGGCACAAGCAATGGGTCTGCCCCCATACCCAGCTCCCAGGCAGACCCTGGCGAGTGTGCGCTCACCTGAGCAACGCAGAGCGGCGCCCGGGGGTCTTCACCGAACACACGGCCTGGAGGCTCCACCTGTGGGTGAGGGGTGATTATCACCATGCAAAGCACAGCCCCTGCACTCGGTCTGTAGAGCCAGCCAGCTCTCTGGGCCCTGTACCTGACCTCTGTGTCCTCAATTTTGGGGAATAGATGCTAAGAATATAGGATGATGCCCACTTTTGATTCTCTGTATGAATGAAGGAAATAGCAATCTGGGTGGTTCCTGGGCACTAGGCAACCCCGAGGCCTTGATTTTGGATGCTGGAATGTATTACAGAAAATGAGGACATTTACTTTTAAAATTCTGTTTGAGTTATAAAAGCATTTAAATGAGGTGACCTTCCTGGAAAACATACTGGCAGACAGCGAAGGTGGTGGGGACACCTAGGCAGGTCGGCTCAGGAATCAGTTAATATTCTAAGCCAAATTCTTCCTTCCCTCCTCTTGTTTTCCTTTCTCCTCAGGCACATAAAGCATTTCAGCCACAAAGAGAAATGTGCCTGGGATGTGTCTGGGTTTCTGAAGCCTGTCACCATTTCCTAATGTTGGCACAGATAAGCCGAGTGGGACAGTGATAGCGCTGGGCTGTAAATGGGGATAGCTAAAGCAAACAAGGGGCTCAGCTGGAAGGATTTACCTTCAATACAATGTTAGCTGAGTGGTAATTTTAGGCTAGTTGACTTTACAGCCATGGATCAATTGTCAGCAACCACAGTGTCATGTGTCCTGGTCCCAAAGAAAGGGATGCTCTCAGATCCCTGGAGGGGTCGCCCTGATTCTCTGAGTTCTGGACATACTCTGGGGCTGCCCATCCCCTCCCAATGGGGAGTTTCTCAGACCCATGACCTGGGGTGAACTTGGAGGTCTCTTGCTTTTAGGTGCGATTCCTGGAGCAGCAGAATCAGGTGCTACAAACGAAATGGGAGCTGCTGCAGCAGATAAACACGTCGACTAGGACCTTCAACCTGGAGCCCGCCTTGGAGAACTACATCGGTGAGCTGCGGCGGCAGGTGGACTTCCTCAACGCAGAGCAGATGCGCCAGAGCTCGGAGGTCATGAGCATGCAGGACTTGGTGGAGGACTACAAGAACAAGTGAGGGGCCGGGCGAAGGGCCCGGGGAAGCGGGCGGGGAGCTGATGCATGGCCGAGGCATCCCACTTCGGTGTCACTGTGTAAGGGGGGAGCAGGGCCATGGCAGGGCCATGCAGGCTCTGCAGTGCACGGCTGCAGGGTACTGTTTGCATATGGTGGCCTTGGTGTTGCCCCTCAGCCCCTGATTGTATTGCATGGGGTTGGGGCAGACAAGCTCCTCAGATGCTGGGGCCAGATAAGCCTCAGTTCCAGTGTGGGCTTTGCCACTTTCTGGCTGCCTGCAAGTTCATCTGTCTAAGCCTTTAGTTTTCACATTAGTCGAGTGGGGCTAGTAAGTGCCCTCCCTGTTGGATTGTTGTGAGGGGTAGACTGAGGCTCTCAAACTTGAATGTGCATCAGCTTGTTAAAATCAGATCGATCAGGGAGGGCTGGGATGGGGCTGGAGTGTTTGTATTTCTAATATTTCCAAGGGATGGTGATGCTGGGAGACTGGGGACCACACTTTGAGATCCACTGATTTAGATGAAGTTAAAAGTTCTTAGGCTGTGTCTGTGCATACTAAGCCTGCAGTAAGCGCTAGTTATTATTTATAATAATGGTAGGGGTGACAGGACTTGTCTAATTCTGTATCAGCTGCTCCTGCACCGAGTCACCTTACCATTCCATGCTGCAGGTGCAGGGCGCTGCTTGTAGCATCCCCTTGACATGCTTACTGCACGAGACCAGTAGAGTTGAGTGTATGTGAATCGAAAAGGAAGACATGAAATTCGCACTGAAGGTGTTGGGGGTAGGGGCAGAATCATAGGTGAAATTTTTTTCTCTTTAAAAAAAATTTAGTAAAAGTGGTTACTTTAAGTTCTCAATTAAAAAAACAATTGAACTTGACAAATTTACAAATAAAAAAATGGACACTTTGGAAGTGTTCTTTGTGGCTCTGGATTTTCCACTTTGGGTCGTTGTCCCCATGTTGAACTGGAGAACCAGGAGCTGGCTCCAGCTGCTTGCCAGTGAGAGTGGCAGGCCTTGGTAAGGGACAGTCAGAGTCCAGAAGAATCCTCAAGGAGCCAAGGTCAGCTCCTGCAGCCTGCCTCTGTTTCTTACCTTCCCTCTACAGATATGAGGAAGAAATCAACCGGAGGACCAACAATGAGAATGACTTTGTCATCCTGAAGAAGGTGACTGATAGGGTTGTCCTGAGGGGGACTGTGGGCCCAGGCAGCTGAGCAGAGAGAAGAATTCATATGGGAGGCTGTGTGGCGGAGGGATGGACAGGGTGACCCTGGGGGCCAACTTGTTGAGCATGTTGCCCAAATGCTGGGGCCCTTACACTGAAGGGCCAAGTCTGAAAGTGATGCTAATATGGATCTTTAGGAATTCTTGAGCTTTTAATCTCTCTAATGCCCTGAAAGTGAAATTAAATTATTTGATAGCTTTTGAGTATCATTTATGTATGGCCCTGGGGCCTGGGGTGCTGTGTGTGACTAACCAAGATGAAGAGCTTGGTGTCACACTTCCTTCCGGCCAGGACAGCCAGAGTTTGCAGGTCCCTTATTTGAGTGAGGTGAAGAATTTTCTGGCAAGGAGGTAAACCCAGAGAAGCTTTGTTACTTGCCCAGGCCACCCAACTAGCTGGTGGAAGGCAATACCTGGGCAAAAAGTCAGACTGTCTTTGCTTGCTGTTCAGGACGTGGATGCTGCTTATATAAACAAAGTGGACCTGCAGTCCAAGGTGGACCTTCTGCTTGGGGAGGTCAATTTCCTGAAATATTTCTTTGAGCTGGTGAGTTCATAAGAAATTCTTGTCTTTTCTCACATCTTAGAAGGCTTATGGGCTGTAAGAGGGGAAGGCCTGAAATGAAACATTGTCCACTAGGGAATCCTCTCCCCAGTTACCTCAACCATCCTCTTCGCCCCTAGTGCTCGGGATTCCTGGGTGGGCGTGCTGGAGCTAGGAGGCCAGGAGAGTCCTGAGATAGGACAAGGTGAAGCTGGCCCCGGGACATTCAGGGGCAAAACCAACCAGAAATCTTCATCAGTGCTGGGAAATCAATGGGGGCTGTTAGGAAACTCCATAGGAGAGGACACTGTAGGTCTCAAAGCGAATGAAGATGAAGAGAGCAGTGGTGGTGGATAATATGCTCTCCCCACCCTTAGGCTAACTCAGGGCCACTGCCCTGGGCCAGATGCTGTGCTAGGATATTTATGATGTCCTGGGTATTTCCGTTATACAGATGAGACAACCGAGGCACTGAGAGAGTAAATCTCTTGCTCAGTTATGCAACTAGTCAAGGTAGAGTCCAGACTCAAAAGTTAGTGGGAATGGCTGCACAAGTGGACTTCTTTCTATTGCCTCTGAGAATCCCTGTGCTTTCAAGGAGCAAGTCTGCCTGTCAGAAGGCCCAGATCAAGGTGGTGGCCAGGCCAGAGTGAGGCAGAGATACAGGGCACAGGAGTGGCTTGATAGACAGGGGGTGTCTGCAAGGGCTCTGAGTTCAGGCTCTTTCTTCTTCAGGGTCTGGGTGCCTTTACCTTTAGTTAAGGCATCTCTCAGTGCGCAACAACAATTGAAAGAACTTTCCCCGAGAGTCCCATCTGGCCCAGGCTTCTGGCTTTCCCAGAGAGCCTTGAGGGGGCAGAAAAGGGAAATTGAGGCCCCAGGTGGACAGTAGAAGGAGTCAGCCTATGGTTCACGCTTTCAGGAGCTGTCCCAGATGCAGACTTACATCAGTGACACCAATGTCATCGTGTCCATGGACAACAACCGCTCCCTGGATCTGGACAGCATCATCGCAGCCGTGCAGACCCAGTACGAGATGATCGCACAGAAGAGCAAGGAGGAGGCTGAAGCACTGTACCAGACCAAGGTAAGCCCTGCTGCCCCACCGCCCGGATTCGGGGCTCAAAACTAAACATACCTCCCCCCCGACTGGGCGTGGCTCAGCGGTTGAGCAGTGACCTGCGATCCAGGAGGTTGAGGTTTGATTCCCAGTCAGGGCACGTGCCCGGGTTGCAGGCTCAATTCCCAAGGAGGGCCATGTGGGAGGCAGCCGATCAATGACTCTCATCATTGATGTTTCCATCTCTCTCCCTTCCCTTTCTCTCTCTCTGAAATCAATAAAAAAATTAAAACAAATAAACAAACAAACAAACAAAATATACCTCCTGGAACTTGTATCATCTTTCTCTTATTTCTAAAGCCAAACAAATTTGTTATAGAAAAGTTAGAAATTACAGATAAAGATTACTCATCTCCCTCTCCCACTATTAATATGTCCGCATATTTCCTACCAGTTCTCTGTAGCTGATATTTATGGAAAACTCATATGTGCCCGACACTGCACTAAGTACTTTACATATGTTATTTCATTTACTCCTTCCAACAGCTGCAGGAGGTAAGGATTTTATTATTCCTATTTTACATATAATAGAGTAGGAGATGACCTAATTTCTCTAAGGCCTTGTGGCTGGTCAGTGGCAGAGGCAGGGCTTAATTAAACTCGGGTGTGCAATGTAGCAACTGATGCTCTCAATCGTTATGTTTTATTCTTATTTTTTCATAATGAGATCTTTTGAAATGTAGCTTTGTGCTATTCTCTTTTACTTATCACTTTGAATGCCCTTCTGTGATATTACATATTCTCCATCACCTTTAATGGCAGTGCGGTGTCCATGTTCATTATAGACCCTTGTTTTCAGATAAACATCTTTGTAGTAAGTCTTTGGGCACATCTTTGGTTACTTCTTTAACATAAATGGACCTGGACCTTTTTGAGGGTGAAGACTCTGTAGGTAAAGGTCAAAGTCCAGTTACTAAATTCTAGACACTTGGCACTTGAGATCTGCTTTGTGGTTATCTGCGGCCAACTCCAATCTCGTTGGCCTCTGTCCCACTGTCCTGCAGGCAGATTTTCTGACTGACTTGGATTTCAGCATCAGACTGGGGAGGTAGATGGCCAACAGTGAAAACATCAGAATACAGAGATGCCTTTGAGCCAGCCCTCCCCACTGCTTCCTTCAGAGTCATGGCCTATGGGTGGAGCTCCTCTCGCTGGGACCATGTAGACATGGGAAAGGAGATAGGGAGGAAAATGCAAATAAGTGTGGAGCATGCTGAGGGCCCTGAGGAAATGAGGGCCTGGCTGCTAGTGGAATCATTCTGGAAAAGGGTAGGAAGAAATATGGCAGGGTAGAAAAAATGAGCGGG